TAATGCCGGGTCTCTTTTCTCCTTTATTCCTCTGCATTTTCCTCTGTCCCAGACAGGAACTTCTGTGCCTGTAAGAGTCATTCTCTCCAGGACTGTCTCCAGTTGGGACACACTTATTGCCAATTTAGAATTAAACTTAAAAAGGAAAGGGGGCACAGACCAGACTCTAAGACCCATGTCTACATTTTGAAAATTGTGCTTCCTAATAAAGTGGGCTGTTTCCTAAACTGCAGATCTAGACTCCTCACAAATGCAGAGCCCATCCTAACTGAGGCAGGATAAAGCTACATGATGCCTTTCTTGATGTTGACTGAGCAAAGAATAAAATGAGACTTCCTTACATGCTTGCGTATAAAGGAAAGTGAAGTGCCCACTGCACAGCCTTAGGCTAACCAGAGCTCACAGGGCATCAGCAAAGCACAGGCCCAGGCCCACAATCGTTCATCAGTTCAACAGCAAGCAAAAGTTTTTGTTCAGGAGCATTGAGAACATGCAGATTGTCCCTGACTCTGGACGTGTCTAGCTGAACGGCTTAGTGAGAATGTTACAGATAACACAACCTTATGAGTGCCAAGCAGCAAATTGTCAAATTGCAGATTTTGCAGAAGGAGGTGAATGTGGGAGAGCAGAGGACTGATGAGTAGGTTTGTAGAAAATCTCAGGAGGTGATTTAATAGAGTAAGGACCTAGAAAAACATTGGTGAAATGGCTGCAAGTGAGAAGAGAGCAGTATTGCCTACACAGAAACACTAAGCCAAAGCCCTCTGAAGGTAGAGTTCAGGAGCAACAGAAGCCTCAGCTATGAGGCTCATGCAGCAACTAAAAGTCCTGTCTCTTTGTAAGATCTGATATCCTAGGAGACTAGAGGGAAGCCTGTGCCAATTTAATTTGGCCAGATGTACGAGAGAAATTGAAAGTCTCATATGATCTTGTAGGAGCAGTCAAGTTTGAATTTGGACCAAAAGCATGTTGTATTGAGTTTTGAGTTTTATCCGTCTGTAAAAAGTAGCAGAAATGATGGCAGGAAACTTCACTTCCCACTGTGTTGTTAGGGAACTTTCACCTCTCACGAAAGAATGGTCTTTTATTTACTGCTTTTCTCTTACGCAGGCTGAAGCCTTCACCTGAGTGTGAACAGTATCAAGGACACGAAAACTTCCATGGAAAAAAATCAGTTCTGAAGTTAATGCTGTCAGCAGGATAACCAGCAATTTCTGTCTTCCCCAGATGGCCCAGATTATAACAGGGTCACCTTGCAAGACTTGCCTGTAGGATATTAAAGGTCCCAAAGTAATTGTTAGGGCATAAAAAATGTTATGTCCAAGAATTGCATCACAGACAGATGTTCCTTTGACAGGTCATCCTTTGCTTAACTGTTCTTCCATGTATGTTTCCTGACATTCAATGCATCAGTGGCAACTCTTGGGAATAGGAGGCTGTATGGATGTTTGAAACAGATTAAAGTGAAGAGTGAGGGATCTACTTTTTATTTTGCAATAGCAGTGTGAAGCCCTGGAGTGCTAGGTATGTGAGATCAGTTTCTTGCCTTACTCCCCTCATCTAACATCTTATTTCTCTTTCTCTCCTCTTCCTCTCCTACTTTCCATCACTCTTCAACTTCTCAGCTGACTTCTTAGTGTCTGCATTTGACTGATCCAGTCCTGCTAAGAGGTTGAAGTTCACACTGATGTAAGCTCTGTGGGCATCAAACTTGATGCTTATGGTTGATGTTTTCTAGTGTTTTTTTCTCCGCTTTCCACAGAGATGTAGGTTGTGAAAGAGAGAGCAAGTAAGTGTGTATGCTTACAGTTGAACAGTATTTTGTAAATATTTCCTGAAAGCTTGTGAAATTTCTCCCATGTTCTTGATTTCCCTTCAAGTCTGCAGAGTAGGCATAAGAAATATCACCCAGTCTCGCTCTGAGTTCAGAGTGAGTACATATCCACCAGTTTTACAGCCTTTGTGTAGATGTTAAAGCCTGGTGGCCAAGGGTGATATGCTGAAACTTTGGAAGATGGGCCAATACACAAGCCACATTTTTAGTTGTATGCTTTCTTACAGTTTTTAAGCCTGGTCACAACTTTTTCCTTGACAATTACTTCCCCTGAGAGAAGATTTCCTATGAAATATCTCTGGCTTATTTATACATGCTCTGAAGTTTCTGGTTAACCAACCCGTTAGTCCTGTGGTGATTTTGAGAATATAGGTCTGCCAGTCTGTGTGTGTTTATGTTCACAGATGTGCCAATGATTTATAAATGGGATTAATTGTAAATTTAATTCATTTAGGAAATGGTTGAGGACCCAAGTACTTCTGCATTTTAGCCTTGCTTAGTTGCTCTGGAAGAGCTCTTTGACCCTGCCAGAGATTAGTTTTAGTACCAGTTATGAGATAAGCTTAACCAGTCCTTAAAAATAAGCATGTTAAAGCTCTCTGCAAGAGATTTGTTGTGGGTCCTAAATTTTTGTGTTTAATTTGTTGTTACAAAGTTAATTGAGTGATAGAATTTAGACTTTTTTCCCTGTTCTTTCAACTTTTTGAAAACTCAAATATTATTGGATCTTTAAAGTTTAAGTGTGCTTTTTTTAACCATTAAAAAAATCAGTTTATCAGTCAGATTCATACTCAATACACAGTGGCATGGGAAGCAACTGTAATCCTGGATCACAGGTGGTAAGGGCACTGCTTGGAAACAGCACCATTCTGAGAGCAACAAAGCTGTTTCCATTTTCAAAGCCCATTTTTCCAGTCCCCTGATCAGCATAAAGCTGCACTGAACTATGCAAATGTCCTCATTTGTTTTGTAGTACTAAATAGTAGTTTTGCATTATTAATGCTCACAATTGCAATTGCAAGCAGTAGCAACCTTTTCTTTCTCTTTTGGATCTGCTGTGTGACTCACAGAGCAGTCAGCTGATGTCGGTAACCTACTCCAGTAATTTATTTTTTGCAGAATGACAAGTGACTCGCCATTCATAACATGATGAATGCTTAGAAGACTTAGCTTGAAGAGCAGAAAGGACAGATAGATTCATATATAGATGTCTTAGGTAACAGGGAGATGAGATTATATTTCGTCCAGTAGCCTTAAAAAGGAATAGAAAATAAGGCTATATACTTGGAAAAAAAATATTCTAGGTAAATCTATTTAGCTGTAGATTGATGTTTGAAACACAGTGGTGGAAGTGCTATCTCATACTTGAGACTAATATTGTTGTCTCACTAGGAAAAATCATATCATACTGGTATGAAGCCCCACAAGGAAAGTGGGGAACCTGGTAACTTTTCAAGTTACTTCTATTTCTGACTTCCATGATGGTGCAGAAATACAGATAAGGTTGCGCTGGTTATGTGTTCATTGTATATCAAATCCATGCTAAGTGATTTTAATGTTTTGTTTCCACGGATATTCAGAATTTTCCTTTGTACAAGAAGTATTGTATCATTTTTACTGTGTTAAATGGGAATGGCAAGTGAAATCTCACATATATTAGTTGCAAAATGTTATGGGTATAATGAATATATTAAATTCATGCTTGAAATTTCTCACACTGAGAAATTTCAAGCATGAATTTAATCTATATATTAGGATGAACCTCTTGTTTGAAATGCACCTAGGACACCAGCCTGCAAACAGCATTGCAAATAGTTGCATATGATATGCTGAAAAAATATGTTTTACTGCAGAGCAGATACTGTCTCCAAATGTAGAACAAGAAGCAGATAACATACCAGATATACAGGAAGGTAGAATAAATTTATCTTTCTCTGCATGTATGTAGCAAAAGCAGGGATAGATTTGAAATTTCACAATACAGAAAATTTGCCAAGTGTTTTGTATATGTGTGATGTTAGGCTAAAGATCTGATTTTTTGTGTTAGCTATTGTGTTGCCTGTAAAGAACCTGTAAATAAATAGATTATCAGCAGTGGGACAGAGCTACCACCATGGTACTCAAGTCCCATCCCAATGTAACAGAAAATCATTGTTAGTCTTAAATGAAACAGTGCAACAGGGCTGGCAGTGAAAACGCATCGAATATATTCATGAAATTGTTGAAGTTAGAAGCATGTTTTGATTATTTTATATTTGAAGCAGAAGTAGTTTGACTCTAACAAAAGATTCTTGCTGCAGATCATCCTGTGGGGTCGAACTGAGAAGTGCCTGAAGGAGACCACAGAGGAAATCAGGATGATGGGGACAGAATGCCATTATTTCATTTGTGATGTAGGAAATCGAGAAGAGGTCTATCGGCAAGCCAAAGCTGTACGGGAAAAGGTTAGTGTCTGAGGAAACACTGTTTGTGGGCAGAATGTAGTAACGAGACTGAGGAAAAAAAATATATTGGCAAATTGGGAAAAACAAAGGCGACCATCCAGATTATGCTGTACAAAGTCTAGCTACCTGTTTTAAGTGATCCAGAAGGATTAGATGGCCTATAGGCAAGAATGTCAAAAGCTATGAAAATAATACTGTATTTAGGCAATAATAGACTTTTAGATATAATGGTGACTGCTGATTCGTGAAGAGAGATATTAGTTGTAACAAGTCATTTGCTTTTTTTGCAGGTGGGTGATATCACTATCCTGGTGAACAATGCTGCTGTGGTCCATGGTAAGAGCCTGATGGACAGCGATGATGATGCACTGCTCAAATCACAACATATAAACACCCTGGGACAGTTCTGGGTAAGATAAGCTCTTGTGCCACATGTATTTAGAATTGGGAATGAGAGTGACAGATTACAGCCGGTAAACACTTGGCTGCTGCTAGGTCTTTCTAAATGATGCTTGGTAAAATCAGTCTGACATGAAAAGGAGACAGAAAAAACAATGTGAGGGACAAAGGCCAGAGGAAAGTAGTCTAAAAAAATACGATTTTTCCAGTAGTGACACAGTATCTGATGCTCTTGTGTCCCAATTCTGTGGTTTCCAGTAAAAGCTTTTGAGAAAGGCTGAGCTCCCTGAGAATAGTTTTCTGTACAGTGATGCACATGGAACATCAGAGGAGCAGGAGACTACATTGTTTTGGGAAGGAAAATAGTGTGAGACTCATTCCATATTGAATTAGATAATAGTAATAAAAAAGAGCTTCTTGTGATTTCATCACTTTGTTGAAGACTTTATCCTCTACAAGAACTTCTAAACATAAAAAGTGTTCTGTTCATGGCCTTTATCTGTGGGTACAGCTTACTTACGTGCTAGAAAAATATTTTGTTTTGTTTCTACACAAACTTTGTCTGTTGAGAATCTTTCAGAAAATGGCAAAGCAGCAAGGTACTCTCCCGCTCCTTTCCTAGCATAATGAACAACACAGTGTGGCTTGTTGTAGCTGTGTCACCTTATTCTTTTCAGTAACTACAGTTTTTATTGTATCTCTGCTGAGCAAACCTTTTTTCTTTTTTTCTTACTCTGTTGTTTTTCAGACAACCAAATGCTGGAGTTGCAGAATGGACACATTGTTTGCCTGAACTCTGTCCTGGCCTTGTCAGCCATCCCTGGTGCCATTGACTATTGCACCTCCAAAGCCTCGTCCTTCGCCTTTATGGAGAGCCTGACCCTGGGGCTGCTAGACTGTCCTGGAGTGAATGCCACAACAGTCCTGCCCTTCCACACCAGCACAGAGATGTTTCAGGGCATGAGAATCAGGTCAGTCCAGGGGAACTAGAATAAAGCATCTCATTTTAAATGAATCATCAGAATATACTCCTAATTAATGCTTCATTTAGTTAAGAGAATTTGATGTCTCATTTGGCTGCCTGGGAACAGAGGGTCACTCTAGGCCACCTGGGACTCATCAGACTGGTTCCCTCAGTTTGCTGGCATATTCATATAGCCTGCCTGCCCGGAGTGAGACATTTGCTTCTACACAGAAAACTGAAAGCTATTTTTCTCTGACTGTATTTCGGCCATATGCAGCCACCAGAGAGGGAGGGAAGGCAATCTGAAAATTGAGGTCATTTAAAAGGAGCAGTCTACAAATTACTTAAGAATGAACAGTACAAATTCCTTCTTTATTCATTGAAATACTTAATTATTTCCCAATGAAAGGAATGACAGCCACTTACTGAAGTAAGGCTATCAGTACCTCCTTTTTACCTGTATCTGAGAGAACAAGCTGAATTCAAAGACTAATGGCTGACCAAATTAAGCTTTTACAATGGACAAAATAGCCTATTAATATAGTTTGTGCTCTCTTAGTCAAGAAAATATGCAGTGTTGCTGGAGCTGGGAAAAGCCTTATGTTTGTTATTAAAAGCAATGGGGGAAAATATTTGTCTTTTACTTGTCAGAATTTGAATCAAGCAAAGAGCAACAGAGAGGAAGAGGAAAAACACCAACGCTCAACAAACAGCATTTTGGTATTGGTTTGCATACAATGTAAGAAAATCCCTGAATCAAGGTTCCGAGTACACTCTGCCACTTCACCCTGAAGGGACCAGCATGTACACTCTTAACCATTTAACTAACTCAGTAGTACTGGTTGGAACGGGGCTTTCTGCTTTCCAGCTTTCTGGCTGGAACAGGAACTTTCTGCTCCTCCCGGCCTGCTTTGGCACATGTTTGAATGCCAGTAACCAGTGATAGCTTAGTAAATAACAGGACTTGGCCAGTTATATCTTAAAGAAGGAGTTTGGTTAACAAATAATTATTTTATTTTTTACTTTATTTATTCAGGTTCCCTAATCTTTTTCCTCCTCTCAAGCCAGAGACAGTGGCCAGGAGGACAGTAGAAGCCGTTCAGATGAATCAAGCCTTCCTGCTCCTTCCGTGGACAATGCATGTTCTTGTCATCCTAAAGAGGTAAATATTTCCTTTGCCCAGCAATAGCCTAGCCAGTTAGGCCAGACTGGCTTACAGTCCTCTGTGTCTGTCCACCAAGGCAAGCCGCAGGTTGACTGTAACCCAATATCTAGGTTCAGATTGGTTCATCCCTTCCCATGGAAGACAGTCATAGAAGCAAAAGGGAGAAAGCTTTCTGAGATCCCCTTTGTAGATCTTTTCCCTGGGTATAACCCCTTTATGAAACCAGTTTCACTCCCAAAATTTGCATTCCTGAGGTCCCAACTGGTATTTGTCTCTAGGAAATTTCTTAACAACTAACATATGCGTGTAGTTGATTTTGATGTAGTAAGCCACTCTTTGGACTCCAGGCTTTATAATGTAAAGGATTTCTGTACAATTTGGTATGTACCTCATAGCTGTATTTAGAGAGCATTGCTTGTGTTAAAGCAGTTAAACTATTAAATATTTTTGTGTATGATTAGGACAGGAATTTTAATGTCGCTAAGGAAAGTAAGCCATAACTTCATATCCTGAAACAACTGAAAATACATTTAAAATTGTGTTTCCATGAGAGTTTGAACTAAAGCCTTTGGAAAACCTGCTTCAGTCAGGAACATAAACAAGGCCATGAGATTTCTGTGGAAAATAATTACAATATTGCTTTTCAAACAAGAACAAATAATTCACAATAAATGCTTTGCTCTGAATGTAAAATTTGGGATACTGAAAAGTTCCCAGAAATTCTGCAGACTGAAAAAGGGCTGTTCTCCTTCTCCTGTATTGTAAGAATTAATAATTTATTTTCCATTACAGTAGCTGTCAAGAAATTAGATCTATATCCATACCTTATGATAAGGAGGCCATGTGCCTAGCACAAATAGATGCCAAGTTAACCAACGAACTCAGTTTAAATTTGTGTATTTCGCAGTGCAAGATTCTGCACAACATTTGGGAGGACTAAAACATGATGGTATTGTCCAAGTTACAGTTTTTACAGGCCTTTTTGGATAAATATTTCTGTAGAGAAAGAGTGACTTGATATAACTTTCTCCTTTTAGGCCTACTCACAGCAGGATACTGACACTTGTTTTGTCTGTGTGCTCTCACTAGCTGATTTTTGAGAATACGTGTATGTATGTGTGTACATAAACGCATATTTACACATCCTCTTATTAGAATAGACTAAGATGTTTGTTTGGTCTGCTGATTTTCTTTCTGCTTCTCCTGCAGCATTCTCCCTCAGGCAGCACTTGAAGAAATCCACAAGTTTTCTGGGAGCTACACCTGCATGAACACTTTTAAAGGACGAACATAGACTAGAAGGTGCAAGGACTGTTCTCCAGTGAAAGCAACACAAGCATGAAAATCCTGACAAGACTGTGAATCCAGCAGTCTTGGCTTTTAGCCCGCTCATGTGACTTGTGCTGCTCTGAGGCAACACATTTCTTGCAGGTCATATCCATAGTAACATGACCTTTGCACAGGATTGAATGACTACACTATGGACCCTTGGAAAGAAAAACAAAAAGTGTGAAATGTTTATATGTGGTTTAATTCTTTAGAGTTCAATTGTTAAATCTGCTCATAGGTTTAAGATGTAATTTTTGTTTCTAAAGTGTCTGTAGGCTGTCTCAGCTGAGAGGCAGCACATCACACCCCATACTTTATCCTCTCGCTTCAGAGGAACTGCAATTACAAACTGCTACTGGTTTCATTTCAGCTTTTTGAATGGGGAACTTAAAAAATACATTGAAGAACAAAAAGTTGTGGACATTTAACGGAAGCTTCCTTTCCTTCCTTCACTTCACATCCGTTGATGAAGCTGTTCCCAACTCACATCAGGGAAGGAGCTAACTGCGGAGCAATGTTTTCTTTGTTGAAGGCCACCCAGGACTTCTGTCTGGAAGGACTGTGCTGGGCCAAAGAAAGCTGTCTTACTTCACCTGTGAAGGCTGCCTGTGAAGGCTGGAGGGGAATGCTCAGTCAGAGGAGCAGACAGTTTGAATAGTGGAAGATTGTTTTCTGTCACTGAACTCATATATGAAATCTAATTGTCTTTCTGAATATTTTTGTTCATTTATGATAAAATATATATATTTTTAGCATTAATCCCACATTGCCAGGCATGCAGGCAGCATCACACTAGGGGTGAACTAAATCTAGAACTAAAACTAGAGCCTGCTTGTACAAACATGCATTCACTGACATAATCCATGCAGAGGAAGATCCATTGTATCAATCTGCAGAATGAAATAAGTGGAATCATGCTAATAGAAGAGACAGTACTTTAATGCTCATGAAATGTGAAGTTTGGAAGCACAGCTAGCAAAGACCTGATTAAATGCACATTGAATTGAACTGGGAATATACCCATTGTTTTTTAGGGGCATTGAATCAGGCACTGATCAGCCAAAAGTGATAAATACTGCTTGGACTGAAATGCCAGAAGCAGCTAGACATTATTTATTTTTGTAATGATGTATTCTCTTTGACAGCCTAGTAAGAGCAACACTGCATTCCTATGCCAGATGCAGCCTGCAGCACTAGGCATAGTAATGTAGTTGAAACATATTGGAACACTGCTGAAAGAGGAATTAATATTAATTGCAATACAGGAAAGTAGCAAGCCTAACTGGAGAACACCTGAATGAAGCGCCTCAAGGAAGGCTGTGTGGTTAAAGGAACGGAGTCAGTTTAGGGCTACTGACTTGAATTTCAAGCTTTTCCATAGACGTCCTGTGTGACCTGGGACAAGATGTATAATTTCAAGGTGCACCCTGACCCGAAAAGCAGATATTTCTAGTGTTTCACTACCTCAAAAGTTGTAAGTCTGACTACCTAAATGTTTGTTGAAAGCTCAGCAAATTCAAATGGAACATGCCATAGAAAGGAAAAGTAGTATTTATTCATAAACCAAGAGGTTCTACACAAAAATTCAGAATGTGAAAAAACCCATAAACCCAAATATATAATTTCCTAGAATAGATCTGTATTACAGCAGAAAAGTTGTGAGCTGTAGTTGAGAGATTCCTTTGGTTCTACCGTGTAGAATGGAGGCCAACTACTTAGACGCAATGATGTGAATGTTGAAATCTGAAGGGCTGAACCTTACTGCAGATCAGTAGATGGATCTTCTCTTGAGCAGTTCAGGAGGAAGATACTGCCAAAAGTGCCACTGATGCAAGCCCCTCTGCCTGCAAGCCCCTCTGCCTGCACGGATATTTTGAGGAGCTCTCCTATCTGGGTCAGTGCTTCCCTTCCGAGTGCAGAACATAGAGGCTGTAGCACTGTGCCAGCTTTGAAAAGGTTTCTTACAATGGAGTTTTATTTTCAGTTCCTAGATGTCTGAGGGTCTCTGGAGAGGATGAAAAGAAACTTTGATCTCTGTGATTTTAATAGATGTTTTCAGCTTTATTTTTTGGCAATTTTTTGAGAAGAAACACAGTTCATTGAAAACACAAATGCAATGAGGGGAGAACCCTTCCAGGATCTGCCAGGAATGTTGAAGGTACAATATATATCAAGAGACACTTGGGAGGGGAAGGGATGGCTATACCTGTCTCCCCTTATGCAGTCTAATCCTTTCCAATTTCTCATTAATCAGTCAGGCACGCCAGGCTTGTAGGTGCAAGAGCAAACAGAACTGGTGAAAGAGGTGGTGTTCCCCTTAAATTAAGCCTTTGTGCTGAGATTCTATTCACTGATGACATCCTAATGCAAAAGTGAGGCAAAAAGTAGTACAAACATTGAAATTAACTCCTCACTCATCCACAAATCCTGTCCCTTAGTCTGCTCTTTTCCTGCACTGCATGAAAGATGTTCCCTATCTTCAGAGGTGGCCTTGCATACTAAATGCTGTTGATTTCTTTCTAATGAACATAAACAAGTCAGAACATAGCTGAGACTCTCCTCATCTTACTCCTCTCTCTCACATACACACAAACCTCCCTC